TTCATTGTTTTCTGGTACAGCTATTTAAAGCTTCTTGTTTATCAAGATGTATCTAACAAGTCTTTTCATAGATGTGTGACTCCTTTGCCACAGAACCACATTTATCACACCACTTTTTGTATTTTGCATTTTTAACATTTTGTATGCACTACTCTTGCACTAAATGAAGAAAAAAACGTTTGTTCACTTTGGGAGGTATCATCTGGTTTGAGTTTAGTCACGAGGAGGAGAACGGGTCTCCAGTAGAGAAGCAACTCTGCGTGCCAGGCTGGAAGAGGTCTGTCCTTGCAAAACCACCCCACCGGCCCCATCACATCACCCAAACACAGCTGGCCCGTGGCAGAGGGCACGGAGGGCTCCGCACTCCCGCTCCCGCCAGCCCGGCTCTGGAAAGGAAAGCAGTCAAACACTTCTGCCATCTGGTGTGCTTCTTCAAACATTGCAGCGAACGACTCAGGAGCACAGGATGTCTCCTAAAAGCACTGGCAGATGTGCAGGTTATATTGTTTCTGCCAGAGCTCAGAGAAAGCAAGTCCTCGATAAAATCAAAATGCCACCAGGTTAACAAAGAATCTAGAAGCGACGCCCAAGGTTTTTGTCTTTCTCTTTTGAAAGTAATGCCAGTCTCTAAGACACAAACAAGTGTTGCCTGTTGGTAGGGTAGAACAAGAGTCACACTTGCTGGAATCACTATCGCCTGACTGGAATCTTGGCCATTTCAGTGGGCTTGTTTCTACAGTGTGCTTGTGTCTTCCTTTCCATCAGTCTGATGGGAGCTGTATGTGCACAGCACAGCTCTTTTACTTTTTTTTTTTTTGTGTGTGTGTGTGCTTTCTCTAACTTAAGAATGTCCTATTTTTTTTTTTTCTGCAAGCATTTAATAGGAAATTCTGTTGTTGCTACAGAACTCAACAGAGCTGACTTTTAAAAAAACATACTCCATAGAGTATGTATTTTCTTCTGTTTTTTTCAGTAACTCCTACGATTCTCTGGTTCGGTTTATGGAATCCTTTTAGTTTCATCTCTATAAAATTCTAGGAACACCTATATTCAGTGACTATTACCATCTCTTAAAACTGGGATAAAATGAGAACTGCATTGCCTACATATTCTATCCATCCTTGCTAATAAGTGGATTTATTAATACCGTGAAAACTTTCATCTGGTAAGCTTAGTTACACCACCAACAAAAACTTCCTGCAGTGTCAAGGGAGACTAAAAGTTGATTCAACCCATCTAAAATCAAACTCACTCTTTTATACTCAGGGGGATTTATTGATTTCCAGTAACTATAGATATATAGATATAATGCTGCCCCAAGTGCATGTTACTCAGATAATCTTTAAATGGGATGAAACTGGAACTACTGTGTGGACCTGCCCAGCCCTTCTCAGCATGCCAGACAAGGAGCATCTGAAAAATTGTGCTCAGACATAATTCTGTGTAAAACATAGTCTGGCTTTCATAAGTGGCATTCAAATTAAGTTTCTGTGGAAATTTTAAGTTAAAAAGTTCCCTTTTTAACTTCAAGGAAAATAAACTGTTAGAAATGGGAATACCTTTTTATTTTTTTTTTTTTAATTCTTGAATATATTTTTCCAGAAATGTAACTATGCTGTGCTATATTAACCAACACATATGCACTATTTCATATGTCTTCAGTTTTTAAATGTCTTTCCCACAGTGTCCTAGTCTCCTGCCAATGTTTCCCTTCAGGCCACCAGAAGATTTTGCTTCCCAGGCTGGCACATTTTTCCTCAGTCCAGTGCCAAGAATTTTGACCCAGGTTGCAATTACCAGAAGAGCTGTGAAAGCATTTTAAAAGTGACAGGCTAAATAAGTAATTTTAGTAAAACCAAGATTGTTCTTCTGGGCATCTTTAGGCAGATCAGTATTAGCAAGCATTTTATTGTAGTGAATGCTGTTCCGGTGAATCAAAACTACATACTTTGCAAAAGGTTTGTAAAAATTATTAGCATTTTCAGCTGTTTCCATCTGGAGAGCTCTAGATGGAGGCTCATATTCCAAAAGTGCTGAGTATGAGGGAAAGATGAGATCTAACTATGAAGATCAAATGGGCTGTACATGATTGCAAGAAGCCCCTGAGGCAGTTAAGATAGAAAAGTTCTTGGTTATGTCTTGAAGCAGAGACTGGGTGTATAGAAACCTTTAAGACAAAAACTGAGTTGTTTCACCTCTGGAGCACCTGAGGCAGCACCTGAGCTGTGGTTTACAGGATGAAAAATATTACACTTGTGCACTTTAATTCTTGCTTATACACAATTCAAGATATTAAGTATTTCTTCTTATCCAGTAAGTCACATGCAGTTTCATCTAAAACCAATCATAACATTCATGGAGCTAATTGAATTTCTCAACAGGATACGAAAATCCAACTGATTAATTTTTTATTCACAGAAACTTTGTGTTGTATGAAACAGTACACAAAATTGTAAGAATCCAGCTCATTTCACGAAGGTCAAATAGAGCAGTTCACTTTTGCATGGCCTTGGTGAGGAAAACCTAGAATTGCTATCATGAGGAGTGTGCAGTAACTGAATTGTATTGCTCAGCTGACAAGATATGATTCACAACATTTTTTTTTAAATATGGCCCATTTTCCTATAACATAATTCTTTGATAGATTACTTCTGAATAAGTGGTAAATATATTGTATTTTTGGATGAGATTTTCTCAGGGGACAAAGCAGTCTTAGGGAAGAATACCCTCATAAGATAGTGCTCCAAGACTCACATCTAGCAATAAATGAACTTTCTGCTGCAAGCACTTACCTCTCTCCATTAGGAAGATGCCAGGATACCAGGTAACTGAGCCTAGGTAAGCTCAATGATTCTTGGTACTATTCTGTAAATGCATCCACATATTTTTCTATATAGCAAGAGCTATATATTTGTGAGAGATATTATTAGTAATAAGAACTAGAATAGAATTTTTTACTGCTGCCTACAAAAAACTATCAGCTCACCCTTTCTGAAAAATTATTCTCAAATGTTTTTGGGATTCTGAGGGTTTCTCTTTCATAGCTTGGAAACTGGTCTTCTTGGCAGATGCTTCAATTTTCACTAGTCAAGGAGACCCAGGGAATTCAGCTACCCTTCTCATTCCCAGCATCTGATAATGATTCAGAATTTATAAAGAATTATATTTTGGCTGCACTTTTGGCAGTGTTCCTGCACTGTGACTGTAGGCTTCACAAATTTCATTTAGTGGGCTTGCTGTGAACAGGCTTTGGGTCTTGGCTCCACTGAGAAAATCTAAGAGGCAGAGTAGGAAGGGGAGCAGTACATGTACACGCTGATAATCAGAACATCTTTCTAGAGAATGGGAAGTACCTTTCTCATTCACAAAGATGTGAAGTACTTATCCCGGAGGACAAGTAAAAGTTGAAGTAAATGGCTTTATCTTTGATGTTCTGGATCTAATATGAAAAAACTCGTAAGCATGCAATTGAGCGGCTAAGAAAAAGATGTTAAATACTCAGAAAATATATATGTTTAACATTTTTTATATTTTCAATATTGTTTTAAAAAATAATGAATGCACACCTTTCTTAGTAAGCTGTTTCTGGACAGAAAATATATAAATTCTGTATTTTTCATATAAGGAATTACTTTCTTGGTAAAACAACCAGAGGGAATAGAATAAATCTGAAATTATCACCACTGAATTGAGGTCCAAAGTTCTCCTCACAGAAAGAAGTACAATTCCCACCCCCAGCCCAAGAGACTGTGACTTCCAGCATATCTATACCCACTGCTGTCCCTGTCTGGGTATGAGGGAGAGGGATGCTAAATATCAGTGCATGCACAGAATGCTGTGTCTGCCTTGTTCCCTTTCAGTGGCCAGCCAGGGGGTTGCCCTTTTGCTTTTCTGTGCCTGCCCTGCCTTGGCTGAAGGGGAAAGTCTTCTGGAGCATGAGGGCATGACCCAGTGGGGAGGAAGCCTGCAGCGAGGGCACATATTAGCAGACGCCTGAAAGAAGCAGAAAATGACAGAGCCAAGTCTTTGAAGCAAGAAATTCTTTCTTAGCGACCCAGAGACACCAAGGGTGAGGTTGTGCAAGACATCTGGGTCAATCAGACAGCTTGCTGCCACCAAAAGTGAGTGTTTTCTGCTGTTTCAGAAAGCTGGGGGTGTCTAACAAACAGAAGAGCTTATACAAAAAAGGAGCAGACAACTGCAGCCAGAAGCGGGAAGTAAGCCTAGCCTTTGGGGCAGCCATGAGCTCAGATTTCGCAGGAATATTCAGCCTGCGTGGGGCCTGCTGCAACCCAAAATGCCACAAAATCTTGCTGGACTGAGAAAAAGAATGTGAAGAGAAAGATCTGTTATATTTTTATGGTCACTCAGAAGAAACTGAGTTTATGTATTTTAAACATTGGCTGTCTGCGTTTAGCTGAACGTAAACGTAGCGTTTAGAAATTTGCAGTCCTCTCAGTGATTATGGTCTGTCCACTGTAAAAAAAGGGGTCTAGTTAGAATCACCTCTAAACTCTGGGCAATTGAAGATCGTTTCACAATTAGTTTAAAGGTATCCTAATCTGGATTATTTGGGATAAAAGAGGCTAGGGAGCAGCTCCATATGGTAATTTGAGGGAACATTTGTCTTTAGCAGGGATGAGGGAAGGCAACAGTAGCCTATAGACCCACAACTGAAAAAGAATGTGTGTCTTAGTCTTTGTAAATGGCACTTTATCACTTCACATTCAGAAATGTATGTATGTCTGTATTTTCATACAGAAATAATCTGTATGAAAATGCTGTATAAATTTCAGATCAAATCAAAAAGATTTAGCCTCACTTTGAAAAGGCACAAGCGGGGCAAGACATGAGACTGAATTACCTTCTGAAAGATAATTTTTTCATTCTCTTTAACAGGACTGGAAACAAATACAAAGTAAGCATTTTACTAGAAAAAGATAGTTTCATGAACTATAGATGAAACTAAATAAAACAAAGGAAAAATATTTAAAACTGTGTGCCTTAAAAAGGGACTTTAATTACAGACAATGTTTCCAGCTTGTACACTCATAAACATACATAGACTGAGAGGTCAGAAGAAGGAAATCTTTTAAGAAGGGCAACATAAATCCAAAACAGCCTGGAATGACAACTGTGAAAAGGAAATACAGTTGATCAATTTCTGAAAATATTTTTTTAAAAATTACAGGAATCAGTCAAAAGTAATAGTCTTTACAGAATAAAATTTTTTTCGGCTCCATCCAAGTCTTTCACTAGTTCTCAGAAGAGTTTCTGTGCAGCCATTACCTTGTCTCTTAACAACCAAATCCAGTTTCAGCCTTTTAATCATCAAGAGAGTCTGAGCTCATCTCCCCAAGTCATATTGCAATAATTTCTGTGAAAAATGTTGTTTGGAAGCCAAAAGTCCTTTCCCTCTGTAGACCTGAAAGTTTGGCTGCACCCCTCTCAACTTACTCATATTTCACCACTACATTATCTAAGTGAGTTGAATCCTGAGCATATTATATTTAAAATAAGTCATATAAAACATTTTCTAACACATTTTTTTTAAAGACTGGTTGGAAATTTGAGATGCTACAACTCAGACATCTAATTATCACTAAATTGCCTACGTGCCTACGATATTCACGTAAGACAATTTTATATATTTTCTGTTTAAAAAAAAAAAAAAAAAGAATTCAAGTGGAACATTTCAGGAGATGTATTATGTATTCCAGAGATGTTTTCTAGATGAAATATCAACTCCTTTTTTTTTTTTTTTTTTTCCTCAAATGGCCTGTTGTTTCTTTAAGTGATTTGGAGAAAATGTGAGGGTAACCAGTAAACCCAAATGCTGGGACTGAAAGGCATGGAGAGAGGAAAAGGGTCCAAGAGCCTGGGCAGCAGGTGAGCCTGTAGCTCCACCCAGCACCAAGAAATTATCTACATCCTGCAATAAAGAATGCCTATGGAAGCATCCTCTGACTTCCTCCAGGGAGCAACCCCTGTTCCTGCTCCTCCAGAGAAATCTGAATTCATCATGGGCATTGCTGCTCTGTTATGTGCAGCCACACAATTCTGTACTGCAGCAATGGACATATCATCAAGCAAGAAAGAAATACATTTTAGGAAAGCTGGTGAGAATCACATCATCACTTCTGGTTTACAAGAACTTCAAAGTTTCCAAAGTTTCTGGACTGCTAAGGGTGCTTAGGCTGCAAAAAGTCTTTGCAGAATAAAAAACTAAACCAACAGACCTTAAGAGGTCACCTCTTAGTCTTAATAAATGCCTTTTGAATATTTCAGTAATTTTTTTCCATTTCTTATCAGGCTTGTTCCCTTCTTTAACTCCTTGTTCAACTCCTTGCAGACATTGAGATTACACAGTGTTTTCTGTTGTTTAGATAGCTTCTGCTATCACCATATAGTAAATTGTATAGGGTCTGTACTATGTAACAGGTAAAAATGTTGCTAGTTCAAAAAATTACAGGTCATGGTCGCTTGCCTCTTTTCATCCATGGAAGCCCAGAATAAGAAAAAGTCCTTCTCTTCTGGAAATGGAAACTTAACAAGCACAGAATCATCAGGTTCAAACAAACATACCTCTCCATGCAGATCTTTTTAACAAGTGCAGCTCTTGCACACACGTTTAGAAAATCTGCCTGGGAAGCAGACTTTGAGTGGCCCTTCAGAGATGAATTTGCATCACTTCCCATTATCCCTGTCAACAGGGGATGCAGGGCATAGCAGCCAGAGCACATCCCACTGTCCAGCCAGGTGCACAGCAGCCTGCACTTGGGCAGCCCCAGCCCAGGCATTGGACACTCTCCTGGGGAAGGTGATGGGCTGAGGATTGGCCAGGATGTGGGTCTGTGGATGGGTCCAGCTTGGCAGGGCCAGTGACTAGGCAGGGCAGACTGTGATGAGCTGAAGCCTTACCCTGCTGCACCATCACTGGAGCAGGGGCTGAGAGCCTGGAGCAGGGGTTGGCATGGAGCACTGGACCATGGGCAGAGTAGGGGTAGTCCCGAGGAGCTGTGCAGGGACAGTCAGTACTTTGACAGGGACTTAAGAATTTCCCAGTTTTGTTAATTACATTTGTAGTTTCTGTTTGCTCAGTATTTAATCTTACTTCAGTGTGTAAGAGTTCTGCTGGTAAATCTACTTAGGAATATAACAGAGGAATCCCTCTTTTAAGGAACTGAATTCCATTTGCCAGACACATCCTTGGCTTTTGTGATTTCCTACGAGACTGGTTGTGACAAGGGTGACGAGACAAGGTTGTGACATTCTGCACAGATGTAGCAAGGACATCAACATCAGCAAGGAGGGTGTGGAGAACATACCTATGTAGAATAAGCATATTTATTGTCAAATAAATGCCATTCTCATAGTTTAGCTAGTTTAGCTTAGGGTCATCAAGCGTCTTATTTCCTTCAGTCCTCCCATTTGAATGTCGTGGTTCTTCTTACTTGCCACTTACCTTCCAAGAGAGTCCAAAAGGAGCAAAACGCTCCAAAAAGCATATAGCTGTTTGTTACTTAATAGTTCATGGCTCTTTGAGCTTGAGAAGTTCCACCCTTTGCCGTACCAATGTGTGAAGTTTGCCGAAGTGTCAAAGGTCTTTCTGACCTGCCAATACCGTGGCAGCTATGATGGATCTAAACCCAGACTAACATATTCTACCTGTACACAGACATTTGGTGGTTCAGACCCACACCATATATCCATGTCAAGTCCACTCTGTGCCAGAGGAGAGGCTCTGCGTTGATCCCTCTGTCTCACCAAGACCTGCAGGGGCCTCATTCATCATTTCAGGCCAAGAAGCAGAGACAGGGATGCCACCAGACTGATGCCATGATGTCTCTGCATGACGTCTGTCTGAAAGGATGCCAGGCATTCATTTGAGGTATACACACATTTTATTTGGCTACATCAATCAAAGCAGAAGTTCTAGACCCTGGACACACCTAAGAATTACCTACCAAATTCTTGGAGGTACCAGGTAGTTCTCAGAGGGGTTTCTCTCTTCTCTTGTGGGAAGGAAAAATGGGGAATATCCGCCTTTGGAGAATCACCTTTGGAACATGACTCGCTGTCATGCTATTCATCTGCTTATTTTCAGGCCTTGCAGTACACATCATATTTTATCTTTGCTGCCATCTTTGTTCCTCCTAGGGAATCTTGAAATTTCTGGTACATTTCCTCATTCTGAGCTTTAGAGAAGACGTCTCTCCAGTTTCCAACAACCCCTGTGTACAAGTACCAAAAACTGAAGGGAGATGCTCCTGAGAGAAAATAATATCTAGGCAGCAGTGGGGCAGAGTCATTGACTACACAAGGCAGGAACGATCACATTAATTTCCCTGAGTGGTCTGATTGCTTGGGAGAGGAAAGGTATCAAAGATCAGAAGCAAAGGCTGTAGCCAGACAACAGGGACCATTTCTGGTTGGATGCCTGCAAGCACTCTCTCCCCTGAAGGGGATTTCCAAGGTGACTTCATGAAGCTTTTACACAGAAAAAAAAGGAAATCTGGTTTTGTCACAAGGGAAAGCTCATTTGTGAATTATTTTCTCTGAAGGGGGAATATTTTTTTTTTTTGTGGTAGAGAGGAGAGTGGCTAAATCCCTCTTTCTCCAAGGAGTGGTGAAAGAAATGGATTTTAAAAAGCCCCTGCTTGCAGTACTCAGAAACCAAAGACACTTGAGGTTGTGGAGGGCAGGAAGACAGCCAGAGTTCTGACACCAACCCCAGGCCTGTGAGAGACCATCTCTGGGACCACCACTGACATGTCCATTGAGAGGAGACATTTAAAGGTCTTGCTGAGTGGCTAACAGGAAGATGCCTTTGAGGCCAGCAGAGCAGTGAGCCATGCATTCCCTTGAGGTTCAAGAGGCTTGGCCTGTTAGCACAACTCCTCCAAAAGGTGACTTTCATGAAGTGACATGTGCAGCCTCATCACCTGAACAACAGGACACAGCTGCACTACAACATGGAGTAACAAAGAGTTACACAGAGCCCAGGCAGATTTGGTGCATAACTGCCCCCATAACCTCACCAGTGCCGGCCCTCACCTTGGCACCTCACCTACCTAACTAACCAGGGCCACTACAGAAAAAGACAGCAACACAAAAGCAATGACTGAGGACATTAAGACTGGTGCTCTGATAAAGTTTCTCACTAATAGACCCCAAATCCTGTTAACAGCAGAAGCTTTCTGTACAGGTGGTACCACAGGAGAAAAGTCACCCAGACAGTCCAATGAGTTCACAAGTAAGTAAAGTAGCATGCTCAAAACTCCTTCTGGAGTTCTTTTTCAGAAGGTAGGTCTCCATTTGCAAAGACTTACCTTTACGGAAGAGGATGTCCCCAAACTTTCCATGAGTTTCACTGGATTTCTCTTTCATAGCTTTGAAACTTGTCTTCTTGGCAATTCTGGAAAAATCTTCCTCACACAGAGAAAATCCAAAGAAGGAAGCAATCTTTTTCATCCCCAGAATCGGGTCCTGTCCAAAGGAACATAGCACAGAGGTGAAACCAAGAGATTTGATACTGTGACTGTGGCATGGAGCCAGCATCGTGTGGGAAGGCTAGCAGGGGTAGCTGTCTCCCATAATGTCACCAAGGAACTCCAAGAGCTCTAACAGAAAACCCTTCAAGCCAGGAAACCTACACATTCTGGCCTCAGCTTCAAGGCCTTTTCTTCTTTCCCAAAATCTGTTCTTCTGCCAGATAAAACTCCTTTCACAAATAGGCAAGGCTATCCTCCTCCTAACTGGACTTGCCCCAAACATAAATGAGTAACTCAGAAAAGCACATCCTTCTAAAGGGGCAGACAGGCTTGCCCCAAGAGTTTCTACTTTCCCACACCCACACATATCAGGAGGGACACACATCAAGGAAGAGCTGGGTGAAATGCCACACCTCTTTGAGTTCCTCATAGCTTATTGTCATGATCCTCTCATTGTTAATGTATTTGTTCCATTCCACTAGGTGGTCAAAGTAGGATCCCCAGGCCACTGCAAACAAAGAAGAGGAATAACTGTCTAGACTACTCCCCAGTACAGGCCTTTAACCAAATCAGAGGAGTCAGCCCAGACAGCTTTCTAAATGTGGCTTTAGAATGGTGAAGGGGTGACCAGCTCAACATGGCCTTTCTCCTGATGTCAGTGCAGCATGGCCCAAGTCTGTCCACTTGATATGGCAAATCACAAGCTCTATTGTGGGAATGCAAAAGTCAGGCAAAAACTTTCTCATGATCTCTCCATTCTAAGTGAGAGACTTGATTCTCTAGTACTCTGTTTCTGCCTTAACAGGAGCCTGTCTGCCTGTTCTGGGAGTGCCTTGATAAGTGCCTTGGTATGTCACAGAAGGATCCCCATGCACAAAGTCCTGTGTATGCCACTCATGTTAGGAGAAATGCCAGAGGATGTAGGGCAGAGTACATTTTCCATTCATGAAATCCGCAAAGTACTCATCCCAGGAGGCGAAGGACGGCATCATTGGTAGGTTGTTGCAGAAGTGGTAATAGGAGACAGCCGTGTCCTTGGGGTTCCGAACTAACACAAGGATCTAGAAGAAGAAAACACATCTTTTGACTGATCAAGATGCCATCTTTGTGACATACCACATAAATCACAGAATCATTTATGTCACCAACCACTAAACCATGTCCATAAGTTTTTTTAAAAAATATCTCCAGGAACAATGACAAACACTTCCCTGGCAGCAAGCTCTAATGCTTGGCAACACTTTCTATGAAGAAAATTTTCTCGTATCCAGATCTAAACCTCCCGTAGTGCAACTAGAGGCCATTTCCTTTTGTCCTGTCACTCATTACTCAGAGAAGAGACCAAACTCCACCTAGTTACAACCTCCCTTCAAGTGGCAAGGTCCCACCTGAGCCTTCTTTTTGCCAGGCTAAACAACCCTAGCTCCCTCATCTACTTCTCCTAAGACTTCTGCTCCAAACCCCTCACCAGCTCCATTGTCTTTCTCTGGACATACTCCAGGACCTCAGTGTCCTCTTTGTAGTGAGAGACCTAAAACTGGGCACAGCACTCAAGGTGTGTCACTTACCAGTGCCAAGTACACGAGAACAATCACTGCCCTGGTCTTGCTGACCACACTATTATTGCTCCAGGCCAGGATGCCACTGGCTTTCTTGTCCACACAGGCAGAGTTCTGGCTCATGTTCAGCCATTGTCAACCAGCACCCCCAGGCCTTTTCCACTGGGAAGTTTTCTATCCACTCTGCCCCCAACCTTTAGTATTACAAAGGCCCAGAAACCCACCATCAAAGTCTTCAATCCCCCAGCCATGGAAGACTAGTCCCAAGTAAGAGGAATAGGCACTTAGGTTAGGGTGAGAAGCTTGCTTCTTTCATAGATCTTTGCAGGCACATGCTAATTCATGTAAAGTTATGATACCCTATTGGCCCATTGGCCTAATTACCCTAGTTCAATCCCTATCGCCCATGTTTGGTTAGAGCCTAGAATGTTCTCCGCTCTCTGTCCTTTAATTTGCCTTGGTTTGCTGCATTCCTCCACCCCTATTTGCTTATTGGCTGACCCGACCCTTAACCCCTCCTTGGCACCATTTTCCCCTGTAACCATTGGACCCTGACCCTCAGCTCCACCCTCACTATCCCATTCCCTGTGCCCTCAGCTTGCACCCTGTCTTTATCCCTGGACCTCATTTGGCATTGGACCTGGTTCCTCTACCGGTATACCTAGTTTGCTGGAGATCATACAAAGACCCATCCTGCCTATTTGCCAGCTTTCTAAGGTAGCAGTGAGCTTTGGGATCATGCATGCCAGACGCTCCAAGGGCCTCGGTAGTGCCAAGATGCTACATTTGGTTGTGACCGCCATTTTGCAGGACCCAGTACATACCTTATTTAAATTCATAGAGTTGGCCTCCACTCATTCTCTGTTCAAATCCCTCTGCAGAGCCTCCTAGCCTCCAGCAAATCAACACTCCCACCCTTCATGTTGTCTGCAAGCTTACTTGTCCACTAAAATTCGCCAGACCATACAATTCTGGTCTAATTCCTTTTATTGAGTAAGAAATCAGCTTTGGCAGATCACTTGTTGCTAATGTAAGCTTCAGGCTGAAAACAAGATGTCACTGAGTCCCTCGAGACAATTCTGACCTAGTTCCACTCCAGAGCGATGATCTACTGAACAAAAGAGGCACAAACATTATCTAGATGCACCCTAGCTTCTCTCTCCAGTAATTCCCATCTAAGATTATTTTAGCCACGGTCTGTGGTGGGCTTTCCCCAGGTACCCTGGTTTTAAAGGCAAGTTAAAACATAGAGAGTTACTCCTTGCCTTGCTCAGTTCTCTACCACCAATGTGGAAGCACATTTCTGAAAGGACAGTGACACTCAGCAATAAGCCCACCGACAGTCAGCAAAGCTGCTGCTGGAAGAGGATCTTTGTTCACAGCCTTGGCACACAGAGCTGTCTCTTCAACCTTGGAAATGTGGTTGTGTATTGACCAGCTCTGGTGAAAATGCAGAAAAGCTATCTCACACAGAATAAAGCTAATTTAGGATGGAAAGCTTTTGCAGCATGATGCAAAGAGAAGACTGAAGACTCACCTTAGCCTTGCTTTGGAAAATGGATGGAGGCAGGATATCAGGTCTCAGATGGGTTACTATAATTCTTCTGGAAGGAAGCTGCTTCATCCTCTTTAAAGAAAGTGAGAAGAAATGTGACAAGACAGAAGTAGCTTATTCAGTGAGTTGTACCTGTTCAGTTATTGTAGGTTATAAGAAAAGGTGAGATCAGAGATGTATCTTATCACTTTGAAAACCCAGAGGGATGCACTGGTGGTGTAAGCTTCTGCAACTTCTGCCACTAAGCAACATTTCACATGACACAGGCCTAAAAACAGAACATCCTAGGAAAAGGTCTTACTAATCAAACTTATTGGGTCTATAGGAGCACTCTATGCCTTCTCAGCCCTTTTGTTGGGACACCAGAGGCACTACACACACTACTTCTGCAGACTGTAGCTGCTGTTAAGGCTTGAGGCTCTCCATTACTTCTAAGATCAGCCATTGTCTTTCAGCTATTCTTCCTGTGGGAAGAGCAGGAACAGTATTTTCAGTTATTGCTTACCTCATATATCCCAGGATCCCCAAATTCTAGACGCTGAAATGTCTCTAGCTTCTTTTCAGCATTTATTCTCTCTTTCATTTCCTCTTCTGTATATTTGGCATCTGCCAACTCCTTCACCATTTGTTCAAGCCAATTGGTTCCTTAAAGGATAAAGACACCAGTAGGACATCCATTCAACTTCACTTTTTCATGTAAACCTAGACGAATGGTACCTGTCAAATTGGTTTCAAGTGAACCAGTTTGGTTCAATGTTGTACTGTAACCTTTCAACAAGTGTGTGTGCTGGTTTTCATTGCAATGGAATTAATTTTCCCCATAGTAGCTAGTATGGAGTTTGTGTTGAATTTGTGCTGAAAACAATGTCGGTAACACAGAGATGTCTTAGTTACTGCTAGGCAGTAATTACGCAGTGTCAGGGCCTCCTCTGATTCTCACACTGAGCTGCCAGAGAATAGGTTGCAAGTGCACAAGAAATTAAAAGGGGACAGAGATGGGACAGCTGACCCCAGCTGGCCCAAGGAGTATTCTATTCCATATGGAGTCATGCTCAGAAATAAAATTTGAGGGAAGAAGAAGGAAAGAGAGATGCTGAGAGCTAAGGCACTTGTCTTACCATATCACCATCATGGGTGATGGAGCCCTGGAGACAGCTGAACATTTGACTGACAGAAGGACAGAATTAATTCCTTACTTTGCTTTGCTTCCATACATAGCTCTTGCTTTAACTGTTTAACTGTCTTTATTTCAACCCATGACTCCTCTCACTCTGTTTCCCTCACCCATCCCCTTGTGGGTGAAAGGAGTCGCCCTGTGGGCCACTGAGTTGAGCTGTGCGTTGCCAGCTGAGGGTAAATCACAGCCCTGGTTAACAATCAACAAGGATATGTGCCCAAGATCAATGGGGGCGCAGCTGTTAAGCAGATACTGTGGAGAGCAGATACTGTGCACTGCTTGCTTCAGGGTCACATTGCGTCCCTTGGTAGAAGCAAAAGCAGACTTTTCTTTCAACTTCTGCTTTCAACTCTTTTCAACTTCTCTACTTTTTGGTTACCACACACTACTGCCTGTGGAAATTACTCAAGAGCTGTGTGGCTCCCAGCACTGGGCCAACTGAGTAATCTCTCTTCTGTTTCTGCTTTCCTTCCACAGTGCTGTCTTTAGGAGCACTGTTCTTTCTTCATTATTGACCCAGTTTGGTCTCATTCACAATTCCCAGCTGGGCTTCTGTGACTGGCAGCACAAGGGTCATCAGTCAGCCACCAGACCATCACACTCCTGACACCATCTTTGCACCAGACTTAGTTGTCTTGGCTTCTGCGGCCTGGGAGAAATGGTGTGTGAGGATCTGGGTTCAGATACTTAATCTCAGTTTTCAGCTAGTACCTCCTGCAGTGCTTAAGTGGATCCTCACACATATAAACCAGTTCTGCTTACGTACAGCTCTAGAGCCTGCACACAAAGGTGATGTGATAAGGATCAACTTCCTCCTTTTCTGCAAATTACATACTAAGATATTTCTATAATGCCAAAAGGGAGAGAAAAAAAAAAAGGATTCTGAAAGGCCCAGAGTAAAAGAGAGAGAAAATATGTAAAAATCCTTGTCTTTTCATATCAAAGGCATTCATGTCTTTTTCTCCATTTAGATACAAAGGAAAGGATGTGATTGTCTTGCTTTAGCTGGCACTGGTGTGTTCACCATTGGAATACTGTGTGCAGTTCCTAGACTGAAGCACAAATGATTTTGAGAACCTGGGGAAAGTCTTGTTGAATGTCTATGAAACTACTGGGAGCTGTAGAAAATGAATTGCATAGAAAGGCTTGGTTTGTTCAGGCTGGAGATAGAAGAAAAAGGGCATGGGACACTCACTGCAGTCTTCCACTACTGCAGGTAGTAATGAAGATTGAGACTCAAAACAAGGGCATGTCTGATTGCATTGATGTAAAAACAAAGAAAAACTCAACCCCCCAAAAAAACACTATTGTGGGAAAACACTGATAAATACTTCAATGGGTGGTGAAGCACCATCCTCAAAAGTTTCAAAACCCTTCTGGACAAGGCCTTAAGCAACCAAACTTAACTTGGGATGTTAGGTCTTTCCCCAGCTTTGAGCAGGGTGTTACATTATTTGAGCTCCAGATATGCCTTAAAACTTAAATTCATGATTCTTTGAAGTCTGATGTCATCATAAGCTTTTCTCAGGAATTGTTGCTGTGTTAAGTGACAGCATTAAATAATCAACTTCAGGATTGTAGCACTGTGTATTTGACTACTGATCAAGAAAACACTTACCTGATTTAGGATAACCTACTAGAATCACATCATCGCTCCTGGCTTCAAAGGATTTCAGAGCTTCCAAAGTCTGTGGGCTGCTAATTGTAGCTGGGTATAAAATACCTCTGTAGGAAAACAGCATGTCTTCCGGGGCCATCTTGTCACCCTCTGAAAAACATTTGTCCATTATTTCAATGATTCTTTCACTGTTTCGGGTCATATCTATATCCCTGTGTAAATCTACCCAAAGAGATATAGGTTGTCTGTCCACAATGCAGAAAAGTTTTATGCAACATATAAGTAAATAGGACAGGGTTGTTCACTCAGGGGTGAAGGTGCAAGTCACTGATTAACTCTGTACTCTGTTAAATCCTTTTGATATTACTGAACTCCATGGAGACTGACAAGAGGGACCTATGGTCTTTGCTGCAACTAATACTAGGAACAGGAAATATTAGGGCAAAAACTAGTAGGAATAATAATGTTAAATTACACCAAAGAAACATCTGTAAATTATATTTCCTGAAATAAAATCTTGAAATGGATTAGGGAAAGGACAAGAGATGGAAGATGTTAATATAATTTTTCTGATTTGTTCATTCTCTTAAAAAGAAACAGACAAAAATACAATATAAACATAATTTTCAGTGGAAATTTCTCTTTTTAGGTATCAGAGGCAACAAAAGAGACTAGACCAAAAAGAAAGATACTTTTCTTTTTTTGATAGTTGGCAAGAACGTAGAAGTAAGAAATTTTGAGAGCTCTGCTATTGTGTCAGTCAGTTAGGTCTTACCTTCAAAACAGATTCCCAAGTTTTCTGAATTGATTCTCACACTCACTAGCTTCATCTCTGCTTAATTTTCAGTCTCGAAATATGTCACTCAAGTGATATATCAAGTTTCTTTGCCTACATTCATTTTTTTGACATGGCAGCCTGCCTTTACCATTCTCATTTCTTTCACTCCCTTGCCCCACTGAATGTAAGGGCCCACAGAGTATCTCAAATGGAGCAAAAGCCCATGAGGTGTTACTACTCTGAATAGCTCTGTCCTTCAGAGTGAGATTGTTAGGGGCACAAAGGGACTGAATTCAAGACTTGGGATGACACAGGAGAGGACAAAACTCAAGAAACAGGTCATGGTCTGGTTTTCAATCTGGTCACCAAGACCAGAATAAGGTCTGAGCCTTCTTTTGCTAGCATTGTCATCATGTTAGTCCTTGCTAAGTGTGATTCCTCAGGTGCCAGCTGCTGCCTGACTGATTTACCCCCATCAAGTACCTGTTCTTTTGGCTTCCCTTTTCTAAATATAAAATTTTACATTTATCTTTACTAAGCTTTGTGTTCCCTAATCTTCTCAATGTGTTATGTTTCAAATTGTTTTGCCATTTTTCCTAGTACTTTCAGCCCTCTGTTCTGATCCCCAGACTTACCAGTCAGACATTTATGACACACTGTATGGTAGTAGTTCTGCCCACCAGTGTTAAAAACAAAATTGAATATTATGAAAACTCACCACTAAAGGAGATTGCTTTAATTGCCCTCTCAATTTTGCTGTCAACCTGTATACGCAGTGTGATCATAAGCATACTATTGCAACCAAGTTCATAATATCCATGTAAACAAGTGGATATTCCTGAAAGTATTGCTGCTGCTGCTGACAGTGTGAATGCCTTTTATTGCTGTTGTATGAATTTCTAACAACCTAAGCCTACTTCCAGTACTTTCATTTCTCTAACCAGTGTTTGTACATTGCCATCCCCACATAAATTTGTGTCTTTTTAGTCATGTAATGTCAGGCTCTCCCCAATGCTGTCACCTCTTGCATTTTCTGTCAGTGCTTTATTCAAGAGGTGAGTTATCTTAAGGAGGATCACCAGATTCTTTAACATATATTATATTTACTGTTACATGTTCTTCAAAATATTCCATGGTCGGTTGCTTTGTCATTTTTGCTACCACATTTCTATGGATCAAGTTAAGGTGACTGTTCTATTTTGATTATTCCTTTGCAAGATTTTAAACACTGCTATTATGTATGTTCTCCTCTAGAAATCTGGTGCCTTTCTGGTTACTTAAAGATAACCTGTAGTTGTTCAAGGATGGCTTGCCACAGGATATTCTGCTGCTCATTCATTGCTTCTCTAAGTATTCTAAGTATTACTTTGAGCATTCCTATTTCTTTACAAAACTCTGCATGTCCACTTATGTCCAAGCAGAAGCAACCAGCTTTAGAAGAGTGAAACAAAAATCCTTTGGATATTTCATTATTTTGATTTGCGGAAAAAAAACTCCACAATTTGTAAAAGTTGAAAAGCCAGTGTGATTTATTTCAGTGCTGGACATATGCTCCCCAAGGACATGTGCACCCCCAAAAATTCCCAAGTCATATTTTCTAGTGAAGATGTTGCCTGATTTGAAATGTTTTTGAAGAGAAAAATAATCTGCGTACTAAATAATTATTAGTAGTCTAGAAGGATAGACTTTGTCTAGAAAGAAAAGGGGAATTTCCTTCCAGGTGACAGCTGGAACAGGGTTGTTGAGTTTTTGTAAATATGATTAGTTGGCATCTTCTTCAGCAAATGGGTGTGGCCTGAGCACTCACCATGAAACAGAAGGCAAAGTTCTTCTTCTAACCACGTTTCATAGTTCTTCAGGCTTTGCAGTACAAGTCATACTTCAACTTTTTTCCAAGTTTTGTTCCTGCTATATGTTCTTCAAATGCTTTGTCCATTTTCTCACTCTGATCTTCACTGAAAAGATTCTTCCAGTCACTTACACCACCTTCAAAGAAACAAGAACAAACTGTTGAAAAGCAAGGAATTTTATTTTTTATCCTCTAGAGCTATCATTTTTATTGCATTGCGCGCAAAACTGTGTTCATGCATTTTCCAGATGAAGCATTTTTCTACACCAATATAATTTTGTGAAATCCACAGAGTTACATAGCTATGTGAATAACCTTTTGCTATAATGCAAAAGAACCTACTCCTCTTTAGGTGATGGTGCTCAAAAATGCAGCCTGTTTCCTCCATCTCTCTCCTCAAGTCAGTTATGACAGGCAAAGTGGAATATCATGAAGAATTGATTAAGGATCATGTGCCAGGAGGCAGAGATGAGTTTTTGCTCCTTTGACAGCTTGAGTTTTTATCCACGTACATCTTTAATATAAAATGCAGAAATAGATTCTGACAACCAGGTTGCCCTTCTCATGTCCATGTCCCCCACACTGCACTGCAAAAGTTGTTCCCAAATTGTGTTCCCACCCTTATGTGTATCTGGATTCCTGCTTGCTTGGCTTAGTTCTAATGGGTAAGAGTGAGCAGGCATTTGGCAGTGGACATCTCAGAAGATTCCTACACTCTCCTAAAATGTGTGGTCACACCACTCAGGATGATTTTGGCCCAGTGCTGCCTGCTCCAAAGGCTGAGCAACTGGTATTCCAGGCATAGAGGTGGAGAGGAATTCAGACACATGACAGTTCCACCTTACTGCCAGCCGTCTGTGAACCTCCAAAAGTGGCTCTGCTGTGAGAGCCTTGCTGGGTATCTTCCTCACCACTTGTCCTTGAATAGTCTTCTCAAGCAAAGCAGTGATAACCTGCTTTGCAATGCTAATGTGAGTGCAGGAAAAAGAACCAAAGGATGGCCCAAGTTCTTGACAATGGGACATTTCTACCTCTGAGCCACTTGGAACTTCCTACCTTTGCGAAAGAGAGCATTAGCAATTGGCCCATGAGTTTTGTCTTGAGTTTTTCTTCATAGACTGGAAGCTGCTCCTCTCCAGCACCAGCTGGAGCTCTTCTTCAGTCAGAGGTATTCCAAAGAATGTAGCTATGTTTTTCACACTCAAGGCAGGATTCTGGAAAGAGGAATGTAACATATGGCATGACTTTCAAACAAATGATGCTGCTTTCCAAGGTGTTTACACTTCCCTATATCTCTCTGCTGACTGCATACATAGGATATTCATAGACTTCACTAGGACTAGAGTGGACCATAGCATTTCACTTGTCCATAATTATTTTGGAGGAGATATGAGCTGCCTTCCTGTAGATTACAAAATATTATATATGATTGACAGGTAAGCAAAATGCACATTGCTGAAAACACTAAACCTCCTCCCCAAAGATATTACAGTTGATTTACATTTACAATTATTTGGGCTTATATCAGAGATAAATAAAAACCAAGAATCATTTCACAAGAAAAATTTTAAGAGGCCTTTTAAGTTTCAATTTCACCTTTTCTTCCCTTATAACGATAACTTGTCTCACCCAGCTTAGACACCCTGCATGCATATAATGGTGAATTCATTCAGGAAAAAAATGTCCCATGATGTAAAGAGTATTTGTAACTATTGGTAGCCTTACCTCATTTACCTCTTCATAAGTTATTGTCATAGTATTTTCTTTGTCAGCGTATTTGTTCCATTCAGAAATGTATTCAAAGTAGCATCCCCAGGCCACTAAATAAAACAAAAGGATCCTAAAATGAAGCACAAATTAAGATTATACAAGTTTTGCTCATTAAGGTGTGTCAGCCAAGGGCTTTATTAATTGTGTTTATGGCAGTGTTTACCACCTTCTGTGGGAAGTACAGGTTTTGCTCCAGACTCAAGCATATGATACCATTTATAAGTCAGAAAAATAAAACTTGTTAGTATTTCAAGAAAGCTTTGAGTTCACCAAAATAGCTATCATCTTGCAGACCATCTTGTAAGACTGCCTTAATCCAGTCTAAAAGCATTTTGAACTCTCTCTTCTGCTGACCATGTGCTATGCCAAACTCATAACTAGTGCTAATTAATTAAACTAGTGCTATTACTTTTTCTCTTTTGTAATGCATTAGAATTAGTTCCCTTTTTAATGTACTAGGCTTAGACCAAATAATTCCTTTAATCCATTTTGGCATGGATTATACAGATCCATGGACACACGAGGATGGACATAGGAGAGCAGGGGTAAAGGGGACCCAAGGTAGAGGAAAGGAAGAACTGCTTCTTCCAGGAAATATACCAGTTTGTACAAATTAAAGAAGCCTATGGAAGTGCATTATGACAAATATTTATCCTCAAGCAGTAAGACAAGCCTGGTAAACTTCCCTTCAGGTTTCTAATTCTCTGTCTTTAATCTCTGCTTTTTTAAAGCAAGAGATCCTAGTGAAACTGATACAACAAAGTACAAGGGTTTTTAGACAAAGACAAATCATTGGACAATTGACACAGACAGAAAAAATATACTGTACTTTTCTTTGTCATGAAATCTGTGAAGAAATCATCCCAGGT